CGGGGATCCCCCCGCACCCGCCGCCCCGCGGGGGAAACACCCCGGCACCAGCTCCCCTGTATGGGCATCTCTGCTCCTGGGATCCCGCTCCTGGTATTCCCACTCCTGCATCCCTGCTCCCAGCATCCCTGCTCCCGACATCCTCCTCCTGGGACCCCACTCGCAGTGCTCACAGTCCTGCATCCCTGCTCCTGCCACCCACTCCCCCAGGATCCCTTCCTCTGGGACCACAGCCCTGGATCCCTGCTCCTCTGATCGCTGCTCCTACCCTGCCTCCAGGTCTCTGCTCCTTGGTCCCTGGGATCTCGCTCCTTGATTTGGCCATGCCTGCTCCCCGCTGCTTGGCATGGCAGTTGCACAGCCCCTGGCAGTGGCCTGGCCCTGGCACGTGCCACCTTGGAGCGGGGCCAGCTCCAGAGATGGATAATTGAAAAAATGAACACTGCGAGGAAGGACAGGAGGGAGCTGGGGCAGCACTGAGCCCAAGGGCATGATGATACACACACACGTACCCCCGCTGCACCCGCACAGGCGCACACATGCTGCAAGCACAGCCCTGCATATCCCTGCAGCGGCACGGACCGAGGGCAGGGGGGTTATGGCTCAGGTGCATCCTCAGCCTTCCAGCAGCTCTGGTGCCCCAGTTTCCCCCTTCCAGGCGTGCAAGGCACCACTAGGGTGTGCAAAGAGTGAAGATGAGATGATGGAGATGAGGACTCCATCCCTGCAGCAACACACTCGCTAAGGCAGGTGGAGAGGAGCGTGCACAGATGAGCAGGTCACCCAGCTGCCGTGGCAGCTCTTTTGCACCAAACTGCTCTGGATGCTGCAGGGTTTCACTCTTGGTTACTCCTGTTCCCCCTGCATGCCATGTCCTCGGCAAGGGACAGCACACATGGTCTCAGTGGGGGTCCATGCTGGAGTGCAGGAATCACAGGCACCCACAGGCACTGCCAGCTGCAGAAGGGGCTGGGATCACATCCCATCAGAGCTGCTCCCGCATTCCTGTCGCCCTCCCCAGCTCCTCCTACATCTCCAGAAACAGGAGCCTTGTGGTGGTCTCCAGCCCAGCACCCTCCTCTAGGGACAGGATTTTCATGGCCCTGTGTCCCTAACAGGGCTGCTAGGAGATGAAACAACCATAAACTGGACCCCTCTGAGCTGGCTTCCCTCCTGCTGGGCGCAGGTGGCTCCAAAACATCTATTTTTTCCTCCATCCCGGGAGGAATCCCGGGGTGGGTCAGACACAAGACCTGTCTGTCCATCCGTGCCCCCGTGCACAAGGCGGAGGCAGCGGGGCGGCAAGGGGGGCTCCGGAAGGAGCGTCGGCAGTGGCTAGCCCGGCTTGCAGCTATCACTGTGCTGCAGATAATTGGTGATGATGGTGAGGAAGGAGCAGGATTGGACTTAGCAGATGTTACGGAGAGTGCTAAGTCTTAGGCGGGGAGGACGTGCTAGGAGCCAGCACCGACATGGAGGACGGGCAGCTGCAAACAGGGATGAGGACGGGACACAGCACCTGCCATGGGCGCCATCGACACGAACCACTCCAAGCGTCATTTTCATTGCAAATGTTTTCCCTTGGGATCTGGGTGGGGGGAAACCCCAGGAAACACACATCCGGATGGCGAGGAGGGCGACACGACATGATGCTCCCAGCCCGACCTACTGCGCGGCTGCATTGCTGCATTGCTCCAAGCCAGTAGCGATAACTGCGCTAACTCGCCCACAGCACCTAGCCTGATCCCCATGAGCTCCTGCTGCCAAAGCCAGCGTGTTGCAGCCGACCCGGGAATTACTGTAAGCAGCAAATCAAAGCACACACTAATTTATCCGAGGCGAAATGCCTGGCGCGTTTCTGCAAGGTCCTCTGCCGGGTGGCAAATCCGTGGCCTCCAGTTCACCTTCTGACCTGCCGTTATTCCCTCGCGCTGCCTTTGAACCATGTGACGGGCGGATTTGGCTTAACACGTATCGCTCCAGAAGGAAAGGAGGAGAAGGCGCCCGGGGGCAGCGGAGGTAATCGCGGCTGCCTGTCGGCTGCACAGGGCAGCACAGGAGCACTGCTTTGGATTAAGGACTCCGGACAGTGCCCTGCTCCTCCTCCGAGGCCTATGGACCCCATAGCAGGTCCCCGTGGCCCCTGGGCAGAGATTTAGCGCTAACCGAGGTTTGGCTCTGCCTGGTGCTGCCCAGAGCCACCCTCGCTGCTGGGTGACCCTCCTGCTGTCCGTGGGAGCAGGGCCCAGCTGGGATGTGCCCAGATCCAGCCCGTGCAGCAGCAACCGGGCGCTCACAGGCCTGCTGCACATTGTGGAGCAGCTGGCGCAGCTGGCGGGGGCAGCC